CTTTTTTTGTTTTTTGAGATAGAGTCTAGCTCTGTCACCCAGGCTGGAGTGCAGTTGCGTGATCTCAGCTCACTGCAACCTTTGCCTCCAGGGTTCAAGAGATTCTCTTGCCTCAGCCTTCTGAGTAGCTGGGATTACAGAAGGTTGCCGTAATGCTTGTCTAATTTTTGTATTTTTAGTAGAGACGGGGTTGCAGCATGCTGGCTAGGCTGGTCTTGAACTCCTGACCTCAGGTGATCTGCCCGCCTCCGCCTTCCAAAATGCTGGGATTACAGGTGTGAGCCACTGTGCCTGGCCCACAGCAGGACTTTTAAATGAGTTAATTTGATTATATCACCACAAAGACCTTTAAACAGAAAGAAAAAGAAAATATGGCTAATTTGATAGTAGTGACTCAAAATGGTGGGTTGCTAAAAATAACAGATTTCTCCAAAATGCATGAGAGCAGTAAAGCATTCAGAAGCTATATTTAGGCAACTGTGAGAAATGTATGGTGTGGAAAGCAGTGTTAAGGTGTTTGCTCTTTTATATGGTATGCGGAGAAAAGTGAAATCCTCATGTTTCAGTGAGCAGTTTCATCATTTAAAAAAACGAGCACACGTTACACTTATAGGAACTAACAACCTCCTCCAGACAAATTCTGTTATGGCCTCTTTGCGTCTCTGTCCATGTTCAGCAGAACAGAACATTAGATCACAACTGTGGGGGCAGCAGCCCTTGGGTTTGGCAACCACAGTGAAATGGGAGTGACGAGGGACCTTGTTTCTGGACTTGGCAGAGTCAATTTGGACCGCCCGGACATCTCTGGTGTGCTCCTGGGTCAAAAGGCCTTGTGCAACCCTGCTCGTTGCTCCTGCTTCAAACCCTCTGTCATTTTCACTATGGGTTTAAGGGTCATGGGGATGCAGTGCTTGCCAGGAGCACTCAGTTAAGAGCGAGGAAGGGAGAATCATAACCGTATCTGTTTCCGAGGAAACGAGATGCCATAACAAAGTGCCACAGATTGGGTGGCTTAGACCAGCAGAAATTGATTGTGTCGGTTCTGGAGGTCAGAAGTCTGGAATCCAGTGTGGGCAGCGCCTGGCTTCCTGTGAAGGTTCTGGGAAGGATCGTTCAGGCCTCTGTCTGAGCTCCTGGTGATCCCTTGTTTTGGCAGCATGACTTCAGTCTTCCCGTGGCTTTCTCCCTGTGTGTCTGTCTCTGTGTCCAAAACTGCCCTCTTTCTGAGCACACCTTATTGGTCATATTGGATTAGGGGCTCTCCCTCCTCCAATGTGAGCTCATCTTAACTCATTCCATCAGCAATGACCTTAGATCCAAAAATGATCTCATTCTTAAGCACTGGTAGTTCCCTCAATGTACACCTTTTTGGGGATGCAATTCAACCCATACCACTCATCAAGAAGACGTCCTGTGAGTTTAACCTTCATTCTGACTCATATTGACTGCGCTGGGTTATTTCCAGTTTCTCCAGTGGGAAAGTGTTCCTAAGGAAATTACGGTGTAGAGGAAGGGCAGGTGAAGAACTCATCTCCTAGCTGAATTTTCAGCTCGATTTTTCAAATAATTTTCCTTCTTGGTGAGTGCAGATTGAAACAGCAATAGAGACTTTTCAAACGTGTAATGTCAGTCTTGTCAACAGAGAAAACATGCATCACTACCCTTCCAACTTGATCACGTCATGGAGTTTCACTGTGATTTCACGGCTTCTGTCGTTCAATTCCCAGTCAGCTATCGAAAGTGAAATAAAGTGTTATTTTGCCTTATTGTTGACATGGCTATAGGAAACTGGAGAAATAACTGTGTGTAGAGTTATTAGGAATTAGTGGACCAGGATTAATTCTGATCAGGAAACTGGCATAAAAGCAACTCGCTCAGAGAGCAGAGAAGGCCTGGCTGCTGGTGGAAGATCCACCCCTGGAGACTCCTGCCCCAGGGGAGCAATTTTGTTTTACCTTGGTGACGTCATCTAAATTCAAAGTGACAAACTTCTCTTCAGGACTTTCCAAATTCATTTCCCTCTATTAAGAGCTTAGCTCTCCTCTCATTACTCGTAGAAATCATTAAAGTGATCTCGAACCAGATTTCAAACTATAATTAAGGACTTGAAAGCTGATAGGAAAAATCACTTAAAGTTTCCCATAACATGTATATACCTCTTATTTCCTACTACCCTTGTGCAACTGACCAAAAACAAAATAGAAAGTGGGAAAAATGGCTACGCGTATCAAAAAATAATGATAAGAAAAGCAAAAAGTAACCAAAGTAGAGAGATTATATTAGGAAGATAAGGGAAAAAAAACTATGAGAAAGATGGAAGGGGGAGGGGAGCAGAAAACAGGAGTATAAGCGTGTTAGAAACCAGAGATTGATTACTAAATAAGAAATTATTCCATTTCGGGCTGGGCACATGGTGGCTCATGCCTGTAATCCCAGCACTTTGCGAGGGTGGATTCCAAGGTCAGGAGTTTGAGACCAGCCTTGCCAACATGGTGAAACCTTGTCTCTACTAAAAAAAATTAAAAAAATTAGCTGGGAATAGTGGAGGGTGCCTGTAACCCTAGCTACTCAGGAGGCTGAGGAAGGAAAATTGCTTGAACCTAGGAGGTGGAGGTTGCAGTGAGCCAAGATGACGCCACTGCATTCCAGCCTGGGTGACAGAGTGAGACTTTGTCTAAAAAAAAAAGATTCTATTTCAAAACCATAACCAAAACATAAAAAATACTAGTCATGGCCGGGCGCGGTGGCTCATGTCTGCAATTCCAGCATTTTGGGAGGCCAAGGCGGGCGGATCACCTGTGGTTGAGAGTTCAAGACCAGCCTCACCAACAGGGAGAAACCCTGTCTCTACTAAAAATACAAAATTAGCTGGGTGTGGTGGCATGTGCCTGTAATCTCAGCTACTTGGGAGGCTGAGGCAAGAGAATCACTTGAACCCAGGAGGTGGAGGTTGCGGTGAGCTGAGATAGTGCCATTGCACTCTAGCCTGGTCAATAAGAATGAAACTCTGTCTCAAAAAAAAAAAAATACTAGTCATTTCCCAAGTCTTTGCTCACCATGAAGTCACTCTTTGTAATCAAATTCTCAAGGGATACAAAGAAAGAAAAGCAATCTAGTATGGCCAACAACTAGACTCTGTAATCCACAGACTGTATAATCCAGAATATTAATCCCTAATCCAGAACACTGTGTATGTTGGTAGTGGGGAAATGTTATTCAACAAGGACAATCACATTGATGTATGGGAATAAAGGGTCATAATTCCAAAGAAGATGCTGTCCCTTCAAGGGGCTTCCAGTCTGTGTCACTGAACCCTGAAAAATAAGTGGCATCCAGCTAGATCTACTCTGTTTGCTTTCTAGTTACTCTATTCTAATCTGGAGGCCTGGGCTTCCAGTCTCCTTCAGATTGGTGACAGAATTCTGTTCCCCGTGGCTGCAGGACTGAGGTCCCTGTTCCCTTCCTGGCTGTCAGCCTGGGGCTGCTTTCATCTCCCGGAGACTGCCCACACTCCCACCACTTGGCTTCCTTCATCTTCAAAATTCACACGTGGCAATGTTGAAGCCCCTTGTGCTCTCAATCTGACTTGATCCTCTTTTGCAAGTAGCCAGAGAAAATCCTCTACTTTTAAAGGGCTCATATAATTATGTCAGGCCCACTGGGACAATCTTCCTGTCTTAAGGCCAACTGGCTTGGGACATTAATTACATTTGCAAAATCCTTTCCTGGCAGTGTTTGATTGAATAACTGGGAGAGGGAGTGTGCACTGCAGGCTGAGTATCTGGAAGACTATCTTAGAATTCTGCCTACCACGGCTTCCCTTCGGACATCAGTGGTACTTCTGCTGAAACAGCAACAAGCCAATTTGCTCTTTGTATAGAAACATCTCTCTAAAAAGCAGAAGGCTGCAATAATATTGCATGATGTATTTTTCACGAATAATATAGAACTCTTAAAAATCACTGGTCTGGGTACGATGGCACACACCTATAATCCGAGTATTTTGAGAGGCCAAGGCAGGTAGATCACTTGAGCCCAAGAGTTTGAGATCAGCCTGTGCAACATGGCAAAACTCCATCTCCACACACACACACATACACTCTCTCTCTCTCTCTCTCCAAAAAATTAGCTGGGCATGGTGGTGTGTGCCTGTAGTCCCAGCTACTAGGGAGGCTGAGGTGGGAGGATCACCTGAGCCTAGGAGGTTGAGGCTGCCGTGAACTGTGATCATGCCACTGCACTCTAGCTTGAGTGACAGAGCGAGACCCTGTCTCAAAAATAAAAAAATTTTAAAAATCATTGTACTATTTACAAAAACACTTCTAATACTTTCACATTAAAAGGGTGACTTTAGCACTCACTTCAGCAGAGCATATACTAAAATTGGAACCATACAGAGATCAGCAATTTCAGTTAAATAAGAAGAAATTCCTTTTTAAAAAGGCTGACTTTAAAACCAGAATTCAGAAGTTAAAATCCAAGGTTCAGGGAGCCGAGAGTGGGTGATCCCTGTGTAGAGGCCAGTTGTTCTTAGCAGGAATCGCATGGCTCTGTGTGGTCCCACTGTCAGCCAAGCTTCACCCACTCTGCTCACTGAAAAGACACATTAACAGGATCACTTTGGTTTTGAATCTAATTTTGTAGCAAGAACATAAACTATTAAGACTCAACTTTTGCAAGCGCGATAATCCTATTTTATTTGACTTTACGTTCCAGGACACACGTGCAGAACATGCAGGTCTGTTACACAGGTAAATACGTAGCACAACAATCTTAAAACTAGAAACTAAAATAAATACATGAAATAAAAGCTCCTTACAAAATATTTTGGAAAATATTGCAAATCACAAAGACCAGAATAAAAGCAACCTCTAATTATACTACCCAGAGTTAACCACTGTTCATGTTTTGGTTTTTGTTTCATTCTTTTTTTCTCTCTCTACATAAACATGTTTATTAGTCAAAGTCCAATCAGGAGACAGAAACCACACAGTAATTTGGAAGGGAAAATCTATTACAAAGAACAGTTAACTATAATGTAGGCATAACTAGGAAGGCGAAACAATGCTTGAAAGAATATCCTAGGGCTGAGGACGAAAATCAGGGGAGGAACCACTTTGAAGGAGGTCCTCTTCCCCATGGCGGATTCAGACAGTGAAGGAAAAGAGATTTTTCAGCTCCATTGAATGGTGGAGTTCTTCGGGCTGCCTGACCCAGAACAGGTCCATGGTTGCGGCAAGCAGAGAACATATGTCTGCAGGACAGGTGTTCAGAGGCAGCTGGGGCACAGAGTCAGCTTGTTGGCAGGACAGGTGGAGACCTGGGGTGAGTGGTGCCCCTGTTGGGGGTCGCCGGCTGCGGATCTCTGAGAACTTGCAGAGAAGGTGCATGCTCTGGGTGTGCGGCAGGGGCAGAGGCTTCTGGCAGTGGTGAGGAGCAAGAAGAAAAACAGAATGGAAGCCCAGTAACCCCGGTGAGGGTAGTGGGGTAGCGCCTTCCTTCTGCGATGTCGCTCCTGCGCCCTCTACTGACAAGCTAAACCTCACTCTCGCTGCAAAGGAAAAAAATGCTTGAAAGATCCAGTCTACGAAGGCCGAACAAGTCAGGAAAGTAGATGCGGAGGTGGGTGGCAATGTGTTACCAAACTGAGATCACAGCATATATCTTATTTTGTAACCTGATTTGTTTACTTCAAAATATACTAAAAAATTTTTCTCAGATGATGAAAAATATTCTTCTACAATATAATTTTTAATAAGTATATGATAATTTATATTATGGAGGACCCGAACTTTTGTCACCAGTATTCAGTTTTGGGACATGAAGTAATTTCTACTTTATAGCTATTGTAAACAGTGCTGTAGCAAATATTCTAGTGGTGAATGCTTGCCACATTTGTATTTCTTTCTTTCTTTTTCTTTTTTTTTTTTGAGGCAAAGTCTTGCTCTGTCGCCAGGCGCCAGGCTGGAGTGCAGTGGTGCAATCTCAGCTCACTGCAATCTCCTGCCTCCTGGTTTCAAACAATTCTCCTGCCTCAGCCTCCTGGGACTACAGGCATGTGCCACCAATCCCAGCTAATTTTTGTATTTTTTAGTAGAGACAGGGTTTCACCATGTTGGCCAGGATGGTCTCGATCTCTTAACCTCATGATCCACCCACCTTGGCCTCCCAAAGTTCTGGGATTACAGGCGTGAACCACCGTGCTGGCTGCTACATTTGTATTTCCTTAGGATAAAGTCCTAGCAATGGGATTCCTGAATTGAAGACGTATATATTCTTAATGTTTTTATTCATGGTTTGAAATTTCTCTCAAAAAGATAGCAATTTATTTTAAAGCAACACGTCTTAGTAACACTTCTACATTTTATTTTTAAAATCTGTACTAATTTTACAAACATGCAAATGAAATGAATTTCACGATGGTAATGAAACAGTCTTGGAGAAAACAATTCTTATAACGACATTTAATAATGAGTTATACCAAAGAATGATTTAAAATAATAATGAAGTGGCTTAATAGATACAACACCAAAGAGAGTGAAATGCTCAGAACTTACAATGCAGACCCTGATTATTCCAAAATAATTTAAAAACTGGAAACACAGAACTTATTGTAGCAGACCATTTTTTCACAGAGACAAAAATTTAATAGTTTGTTCCAAAAAATTATCTTTAAAAAAGATCAGTAGTAATTAGATTTACTTGTAACTCAGAAAAATGCAGTAAAAATATCAGAAAAAAACGGAATGAAATGAGAAAGGAGGAGGGAAGGTAAGAAGGCAGGCAGGCAGGAAAGAAGGAAAGAAGGAAGGAGGGAAGGAGAGAGGGAGGGAGGGAGAGGGGAAGGGGGGAAGGGAAGGAAAGAAGGAAGAAGAAAGGAAGGAAGGAAGGAAGGAAGGAAGGACAAGAAGACAGGAAGATTTTTCCAAAAAAGGCAAGAAGGAGAGCATATTGAAGAGAAGAAAAACTAGAAGGAGAAAATACGAACGAGTATATGAATAGAACAGAAGCAAAAGAAGGGAAAAGTTATATTTTAAAGCAAACACCTCCGGCGGGGTCCAAAGTGGCTCCCGCCGGAGGTCATGGCGCTCGCGAAGGCGAGGTTATCAGTTCAAGGCTAACCTGAGCAACCTCATAAAGCTCAAACTGATTGGCAAAAAAAAACAAAACAAAACAAAAAAAAACTCCACCTCCGGAATGATAACATTTAATGGGTTAACTATCAAAACATTTAAGTAGTAAGAACACACAACTTAAGAAAGAAAGACATACTTGTAGGAAATAAGCCTTAGTTGCCCAGTATGCCAGAGAAGCAGAGATGGCAGTGTTTCTGTGACACTTACGTGGTTGGCTTCCGTCATCCCGGAAGTAAGCACAGGAGCGCATGCTTTTCCACATGGCTATGGAGTCCCCAACACTCTGGTTGGCTATAGGATGCCTCCAAATAAATGGCACAAGTATTTCAACAAAGAAGGTTTGGAGTAGACACACTGAGCGTTTCCACCATGGGGTGGTAGAATTGACTTGATGGGTTAGTTATGGCAATGTGGTTTCTCAACAGGTTGCATGGGGTCTGGCTTGCAAAGGAGGCTGCACACAAAGTGGAAGCTGCTCATGAGAGCCAGGTCTCCCTGCAGGTGTCCTGCGTCACAGTCCTTGTAGAATGTTCTCTGGAGGCCACAGATTCATTATGCTGGAAAAGGTAGAGCAACAGACAGAAAATGCTGGCAGATGTCCATCCCTTTCTGGGCTTCAAGCGTGGTTATTGCCTAAAGCTTCTTCCTATAGGTATTTTTGCATAAAGAACTCGATCCGAGGAAGTGAGACTAAGACAGCAGAGGTCGGGACAAATGGGCTTTTAGATTATTGGGTGCCTACGACTCTTTTGAAAGAAGTCCACTGATACTCCTCTACTATTTCCCCTCATCTATTTGGGAGCTGGCAAACTGATTTGATAAAACAGCGATAGATTTGTCAGATTAAGATAGTAATTTACTTCCATTAATTTGAGAGACATCAGTGTCTCACAGTGAGAAGAAATATGGCCACCCTGGTGGGATACATTTAAATTCATTAGATTTTCTGGCTTTCATCTGAGGCACTGAGACTTTCTCCTCAGCCGATAAATCCTTTCAGTTTTTACTTCAAATGGCACCAAACAAGCACTCATCAATTTATATTTTAAATTCTCCTAACAATATCCAGTTGGATAAATCTGTTTAATTAGCAGTGGGTTGAGGCTTTCTTGGCCCACTCTACGTCCAGTTACCAAAATAAAAAAAAGGCATGGAAAGCTGCTGGTTGCAAAAAACATGCCTCCAACAATGGCAGGGAACAAGAAGAGACATTCTACTAACACATGTTAACCCAGGGAAAAAAATTTGAATATATACAAAAGATGAAATTAACAATAGATGAATGGCAAATGAGAAAGCTGCCAGTGACCAGACTTTCTCAGGAGCCAACCTTTAACAATATGGATTATTTCGGATAATTCATGGTTTGCCACTCTTCATCCTTTGTCTCTTCTGTAATATCCAGGGCACATCTTAGACAGATAATTAGGGCATTATCATATTCCTTAACTAAGTCGGACAAATTGCATGGCGCTTCGTGGAAAACCAACCTAGTGCTCTGTCATTAGCATTGTCTAATTGTTCCAAATAAAGTCTTTTGCTTTTTTTTATTGCATCAACTTTATTTGTCAATACTCAGGAAGGAGCGAATGTTCTCTTGCCTGTAGGGTTTCGTGAACATGCTAGTCACTAGGTAATCTTACAGTTAATACGGGCCACAGCATGGTAAAATGTAAGAAAATGTAAAGGTCAAAAACATGTTTCTATTATGAAAAAAAATGAATGATAATGACATAATTTTTTCAGCTCATCAGGCTCTTTGCTAAGTGCTGCTGTTATTGCCAGATCAGTAGTGTATAACAAAGAGGCGCTTTCTGCAGCCTGCTTCATTAGTCTGCCCTGTAGGACCTCACCTCCAGACCTTTCACTAATCTGTTGGCGCGCTCAATAGTCTTGTTAGTTCTATTCACTTCTTCCTGACAGCGGATTTTCTCAGCTGTAGCCCTCCCAGAGGCCGTGGTTAAAGCAGCCAGGTTTGTGTCTAGTTCCTTTAAATAAAAACAGTGAGAGACAACTTTGGACATTGTCAGAACAAGTAAAAATATTGCCGCGGACTTATTTTATGTTGCAGAAAAGTTAAATTATACAGTATGCCCAGAAGTAAACACAATTGCGTTCAGGAGCCTGTGCCAATTCACACAATGAGAAGGTGCAGTAGGGAAAATGGAAGAAAAGGAGATTCGACAGTTTATGTAATTTTTGTCGTTTGTTCGAAACAGCACCGATGTGGGAAAAAGAACATGCAGACAAATTCAAAATCCTGGGGGGAAATGGAGAATGTCATTTTCCCAGAAAAATTACCTGAAGTCATGAAGATTTAATACAATTGATTTGTGTGTGCCATTAGTGCCAATAACACACTTAATACAGAGTGTCCCAAAACACTTTGTATGGAGAGCTGCCGTCAAGATGACATGCAGGGGAGGCTTTTAAGGTGAGATTCGAAGGGCTGTGGTGTATCGGTGTATGGATAGCTCAGAGGGAGGGAGCCAGGGCTGGGGAGCTGGGGCAGTGTGTAGTAGCAGAACCTCCCGCTGCTGGTGTGATGGGGAAAGGGGGCCAAGGAGGTGGGCCCTAACTGAGCCAGTTGCAACGGCAGAGCTCACCGAGGATAAGTGGAAAGAATGCGTAGGAAAATGAAGGTTGTGAGTGTACATGATGTTCAAGAGAGTTGCCTGTTTCTTTGGTGGAGGGGGATGGTGAGAAGAGGGAGATTTGGAAAAGAAAAGCCGTGTTTAAGAAGAATCATTGTTGAAATAGCAAAAGGACAATTTGTTTTTGGTGGGCGAGGTGGCTCATGCCTGTAATCCCAGCTCTTTGGGAGGCCAAGGCGGGAGGATGGCTTGAGGCCAGGAGTTCAAGACAAGCCTGAGCAACAAAGGGAAACCCTGTCTCTACAAAAAGTGAAAAAAGAAATTAGCTGGGCATGTGTGGACACCTGAGGTCTCAGCTACGTGGGAGGATCCCTTGAGCTCAGGAGTTTGAGGCTGCAGTGAGCTGTGATCACATCACTGCATTCCAACCTGGGTGGCAGGCTAGACCCTGTCTCAAAAAAACAAAAAAGAACATTTGTTTTCTGTGTGTGCTTGTTTCTAACTTGCTGTTCTCTTTCAACAAATCATCTGCTCATTTAATGTTTATAAAGAACTTCCATGAAGAAAGGAAACTGTTGATGCCCACACAGCATTTGGGAAGGCATTTATAGACACAGCATTATGTATAATTTTGTTCATGATATTTTAATGAAAAAAATTAACACTGGAAATAATAGTAAAAACGATGATAACTCTCCCCCGATATGCAACTTACATGAGCATCTCAAAGTCCCTTTGGGGACTACTGAGCTGTCATAATAAGTGAAACAGACTGTTTTATTATTTATTTATTATTTTTTGAGATGGGGGTCTCATTGTGTCACCCAGGCTGGAGTACAGTGGCACAATCTCAGCTCACTTTGGCCTCAACCTCCCAGGCTGAAGTGATCCT